AAAATCATTAATGGTAAAAGTAATCAAACAGTAATTATTTTGCACTCGGTAATGTAAAACAAATGCAACTCTGTATCAGATGGTAAAAGTAAACAAAGGCCAGCCAAGTAGTCACAATTCCCAAAACTATAGTTCTGAAAACATGACCAAATTGACTTCAATTCCCTCTGCAAAACAAGCATGCCATATTTAATTGGGTTGACAAACAACAAAACTGTTACGTAACACTTGGTCAACCAACACTCAAAGTGATGCTGCAGTAATAACCTGACATAAAAAATTCACAAGTGAAAAACTTGATCTATGCACAGTAGAGATCCATTTGTATATTTTTAAATATATACAAACAAAACATGACAGAAAAGATTAGGAAGTGACATCACAAAATACAATAGCTATCTCTGAAGGTGCAATTATGAGAGATTTTGATTTTCTTCCTTTTCTTATCAGTATTTTGCGATTTCACCAAAATGTGTATTATTCCTACACTAAAAGTCAAAAATAATGTTAAAGTATTATTTAAATTTAAAGGTTTCTATTTTCTCTTCCACCATTATATTCTTGATGAACCTCAGAAAACAGTCCTAACAGTATGAGATATTAATACCTGGTAATGGAAAACTTCTCTGAAAAACAAGGCCCATCTGAATACCACCTTTTCATATAATTTTATCAATTATAGATAAGGTAATATGAGGCAGGTTCTCTGGATTGAGACTGCCAGGATTCAAATTCCAACTACCCCACAGACTGGTCACATAATTTTGAGCAAATTATTTAACCTCTCTTTGTCAGTTTCTTCATCTGTAAAAAGGAGGTTCCTATTTGTTATTAAACTACTTATTTAAAGCATTTAGTGCCTGGTACATAGCACTTAGGTTATTTTACTCTGAATTTCTTTTATAGGTAAGGATGTTCAGGTACTAAAATCAGTCAAATCATCTGAATGAAAACAAAGATGCTGGGATAGGTAGGGTGGATGGGTCTTTGAAAGAAAGGAGAAGAGAGAAGCAGAAGAGACAGATGGAGAGACAGATATTAACACAGCTGAAAACCTGGGTCCCCTTTCCTAAACTACTATTCTTTTGAAAACACAAATGGCAGTTGTCCACCATAATGCTTAATAAATATTTCTTTCCTTTCTCCCTTCCTTGCTCAACCTCTTTGTTTCTTCCTATACAGAAACAGGTTTGGCTTCTTCATTCACGTTCCTAAACCACCTTTCCTATGAATTTCCATTTTAAAGTTAACTATATTTATTTTAACTCTGTTCCAACTGAGTAGTCTTACATTAGGAAATTACACCTTGGGGGGCTTTCCTGGTGGCTCAATCTGTAAAGAAACTGCCTGCTATGCAGGAGACCCTGGGTCTGAGTTCAATCCCTGGGTCTGAGTTCAATCCCTGGAGAAGGAAATGGCAACCCACTCTAGTATTCTTGCTTGGAGAACTCCACGGACAGAGGAGTCTGGTGGGTTACAGTCCAAGGGGTCACAAAGAGTCAGACACAACTGAGTGACTTTCACTTCATTTTTCCTAGTCAAATGTTTCAGTGGAATTACATGTCAGAAGAGACCTGTAGTCTAAAAATGCTAGAAAAAAAGAGAACACACTATATGTTAATATTTGTTGAATGATACTGTTAAGAACTCACTCTGATCCTACATCTCCCTGAATTTTATACTCATAAAATGTCAGGATAGGAAAAGCACTAAATCAAGAAAACTGTGTTCTGAATCTAACCAGGCCAATAATTAGGCGAGTAACCTGAAGTTGGGATTTTGCCACTTGAGCAAGATGAGGGGAGTAGGCTGTGTTACTGAAAGATCCCATCCAGGTCCCACATTCTACAGCCTCTTGCACAAACCTGAACAAAATGGAGAATTCATGGGCAATTTCATGCCTCCCTGATGCTTCCTCTGACTGAAATCTCCCATTTCCCCTTTTAGAGAACTCCTGTTATACCTCCCATTCATCATTTCTTCCATGAAAGGACAGGACAAAATGCTCTGTTTTCTCTGGATCCCTGGGCTTGCATAGCATCTCTTACAGATGACTATTTATACACTGTCTACCATTTCTGGAGTCTCACATCTTGCACAATGCCTAGCACACAGCAGGTGCTAAGGATGTGTTTAAAGATTTGAGTCTACAAAGTTAAATTAGGTTCCTGTAAAGTTTTTGTATGCACCATCTGGGAGTTTAGCTAAATTTGAAGACACACACAGGCCAATATGGAGCACAACCAAAGCTTTGTCCCAGTCAGATTCATATATGAAGTGCAAATTTACTCTGAGCCATTTGTATAAGAGCTACACAAAGGTATCACTGCTGCAGAGTGTCTAAACATCCCCCCTGAGGATTACCTAAAATTACTTCACTTCCTATCTAAAACATCTTTATCAGGGACTTTGGTCCATGGCACTTACAACCTCCTACCATACTGTAAAAGGTACTGATGATCAGTGTTTACGGTCATTTACCAGAAAATAAGCTCCACTAAAGCAGGAATTTTCATGTTTTGTTCAGAAATGATTCCCAGTGCCTACACCAGTGCCTGCATATGAATGATTTTTTTAAACCGATAATTCTTTCCTTCTGTCTTACAGCCTGCAAAAGTTACGAGTCATCACCTTCATATGCTTATCTCACATTGCCCTATTTCCTCACCTTCATCCACTTATGGCAGCTTTACAAGCAAGCTTCCAAGAACTGGGGAAAATATTTGTATTTAACTCCTGAAGTGCAGCTTTGACTTTACTTTCTCTGCTTATCTGCTGGAACAGAAATAAAATCCAGGAAACTACACCAAATAATGAATAGATAATAACCAAAACTTTGTCCTTTCACTTCTGATAATTATCAATATTTCTCTACTTCATATTTTAAAACCACTAGTGGATGAAAATCAAAACCAAAAATATTAGATTAACTTTTTTGGACAGTCAAGCACATAGACAAAATACTTTGAGAATTAATTAACCGTTACATGTGACTTGACCGAAAAACTGTGTTCCAAATTCTTGTTGTTTAGAAGCTAATTTGTGTCAGACTCTATGTGACCACATGGACTGTAGCCCATCAGGCTCCTATGTTCATGGGATTTCCCAGGCAAGAATACTGGAGTGGGTTGCCATTTCCTTCTCCAGGGGATCTTCCAGACAGAGGGATCAAACCCATGTTTTCTGCTTGGCAGGTGGATTCTTCACCACTGTGCCCCATGAAAAGCCCATGTACTACATACATTAGCTACAGCAAGATTCTCTCTTATGATTTATGTAGCTAATATGCTTCAGGAAAATGAACTTGTTCATAGCATTTCTGTAATTATCAAATACTGAGCCACAGAAGAGTAAGGTACTATTGTATTTATACTCAGAAAATACCACCAAAACTTTCTCTATCTCCTGGTTTCAGCCAAATATGGTTCTTCCCTGCTTCAGCCAATGTTAGCCATGAGTTCTCAGAGACAAAGGCCCATCAGAAGCAGTCAAGGACATCATCTACACTGCTATCTCAAAGATGGCTTTTAAATTCTTGAAGAAATCAAACATCAGCAATGTAAAAAAAAAAATACTCAAGATGAAAAGTTTCAAGCTGAGATGTTTGGATATGTTGACTGAAACTAAAATAGGAAATGAAGATTTTTATGAAGTCACTCAGTCCTCTTATCTAGTACTACCTAGCTGACAAACTCAGAATCAACTTCCAGGATGAGCCTAAGAAAGATGTTTCACAAGCTCAAACGTGTTAAGGCAGGTTGACACAAGCCAGGCCCCTCATTACCCTGTGCATATCAGAAATACTAGCAAGTCTAACCTGCCTGTTAGCCTCTGTGATATCTCAGTTTTGCTTAAACATCCTAAAAAGGATTAATATTCTAGATATAAGCTTGTGAAAATAAGGGTGAGTTAAATTCGCAGGATTCAGGTGTCAGTGTGATGATGAAAAATCATGGGAGGCAGGAAAAGAAAATTGGGACAAAAAATAAACCTTTAAATGCTAATTTTCTCCACAACAGTAAAAGAGCACATGGGGTGGGTTTCAGTCTCCGAATTTTTACTAGCTTTCTAACGGCAGGTTAAACAGAGGTGAATCACAACCAAGCCTTCAAAAGAGCAGTCCCCCAAGGCGCAAGGTCCTGTTTTCAGAGGACCTGAGGCTTGTCCCCTGCCACCATACTCCCATCCAGCCACCCCATCTTTCTGCCCATCCGCCTCAACTCGTCTGCAATAAACGATAAGTAAGGGAAATAATGACCAGCACTAAATGTGACGCGGAGTTGGCATTTACAAATGATTTGCAAAACAGCTCCCCAGCGGACCTAATCAACCCAGGGCACACGACCAGACCCTATATGGTGGTTGTCTGGAAAGATAAAAGCCCGTGATCTTCAGGGGAGCACGCGGGGAGGAGGGGCACCTCGAGAAAGCCAGGCGCTCCATCCCCAAGACCCCAGACTGTCACCAGGGGATCCCGACCCGGCAGCCGCCTTAAGTGTGTTACAGCCACGAGACCTGTCGCCCCAACTTACCCACTCCTAAAACCTACGAGGGGAGTGAAAAGGATCCTAGGGGGACAGGTTAAAATAAAGCTCTATCTTCTGTGCTTGGGATCCAGGAAAAAAGCAACGGACAGGGGAGATGGAAACAGGCGACCCTGCACGTCTCGGGGACTGGTCACGCGGAAGAGTGGGAGGTATCCCCGTAGAGCGTGCAAACAAACGCAGTAGAAGAGCGAAAGGAGAGGACGGGGTGGTGGAGAAACGCGGCCGCAGGCATCGATCGGGGCTGTCGGGACTCGGGGTCCGGGGATAAAGAGCGTCCTTGGGGGCTGGAGACTCCCCGCGTGCTCGAAGCCGGCCCGGGAGGCGGCAGCGGTCAGGCAGCGCGAGCGCTCGGGACAGGTTCCTGGAGACCCGCCCGGCGCGGGGCCAGGCGGGCGGGGGCCGCGGCCCAGGTCGCCTGAACAAAGCCGGCGCGCGCGGGGCCTGGCTACTCACAACAAGAAGCTCATGTCGGCCGCGGCTTGGGCTGCGGGCTCGGCGGTCGCGGGGCCTCGGTACGGCGGCGGCCAGGCCTGGAGAGCAAAGAGGAGGAGGAGAGGATGAGGAGGAGGCGGAGAGCGCCAGCTGCTCGGCGGCCGCAACTAGTTTGGCTTCGCTAGTTCCAATGGCTCGCAGAGGGGGCGGAAGTGGGAAGCGCACGGCTTGAATCACTCAATGGGAGGGGAAGGAAAAGAAGGCGGGGAAAGGGCCGCTCGCCTGCTCCCCGGAGAAGGGCCGTCGCGCAGCTCCCCCACCTCCTGGTCCCCAGCCCCTCGCTGCTCCCACCTTGTGAGCTCTCGCGAGAACGGAGGGCGCCCACCCCGCTCCTCCCGCTGCTATCCCCTGGTCCCCAACGTTCCGGACACCTAGGCAGCCGCAGACCACGCCCCGCCAGTGCGGGGTGGCTGCCCGGCCGGTCGAGGCCAGTCCACCCCGTTTGAGGTTGTGGAGGTGGCAGGGCGCTCCAAGCTGCTTAGCTGGGTGCCAGCGATCTGGAAGGAAGTTGGCTTCAACTCTGGGATGTCAGGGTTCCTGCACTGAGGGATGGAATTGCCTGCAGAGTTCTGCCCACTGTGAGTGCCCAGATGAAAGGCTGTGGGGTCTCTCTGCTAAGTATGTAAAAACAGGAGTGAATTTCATCTGGTAGGAGTGGTTTGGGTGTGGTTCCGCCCGAAGAGAGGAAAGGATTTCAGTGGGTTGTTTTATGGGCATATTTAAAAGCCAGAAGTAGGAGATTGCCAGGGTCCAACACTGTCTCTGCAGGAGAGTGGGGCTGTCATCAGAAGCTGGGAAATCTGCTGTGGTGACATGCTCAAGGTATGCTGAGCAAATACTGTAGATTATAAAGCTTTGCCCTGGGCGCCTTAACTGTGTGAAATGCAAGTTCCTCTGTAAAGGGGACTGAATTCCTTCTAGCTTCTAGAATGTTTTGTACATCAGAGCGCTCAATGGCAATGCTGTGCTTGAGCCGCATAAATGCTTAATGGATGTTGTAGACTGATAATCAGACTTCCACAGCATTATGAATTTGGGTATCCATTTATTTTACTGAAAGATGTCCATCTTCTTTGCTTACGAGATCCATCAAATCTACGAGTAACTTTACAAAGAGTTTGAACAAAACTTAAATTTTATATAGCTTGTAACCCACCTTGGGCTCTTAGGAGGACTTGAAGGAGATGCCAATATGAAGTGTGTTCTGTTGACTTTATGCACTACAAGTTTGGCATGTTGATAAAGCAAACCATTTTTAAAAACAAGAAAATATTAGTCTCAGTACTATCTGAGGAACAGCAGAGGTCACTGGAATAATTTGAGAAGACTTAAAGGAAAAATGCTGGAAAAGAGGGAAAAGGAGGCATTATCCCTATAACAAAAATAATGGGTTTATGACATAAAAGCCCTGTGTTCTAGATTTTGGTATGATACAGATTTACTATTCAATTCGTTAAGGGTCTTCTGAAAATAAGATTTGCACTATCAGATTAGGATATTATCTTTTACTTTGGGAAAAGTAAGTTTGTAAACCTATTAGAACAACAGTTTCACCCCCTTTAAAATGAGGAGGTTTTGGATTATTACATAATCTCTTATTTATCTTCCAGTTCTAAAATTCTGTCATGCCAGGGACATCCTTTAGATGACTGGCAGACAGTTTTTCTGCTCCTTGGTTTGGTAGACTGGCTTATGTAGCTGTGTTTTTGGTGTAACTAAATATAAATGAATCCTATGACTCTGAATCAGTACAATGATTGGCAAAGGACAGAATCTGCAAAAATACCTGCTGAGTTTTTCTTTATCATCCCACTAGGAGAATTGCCTGAAATTAACAGTTGATAAAACTTACATGTATTAGTAGTAAAAATGAGAGAGTTGTCATGTTAGTGATACAAAATATAATTTCAGAGGTTGGGCATTTAAATTAAACAGTAACTATGACTTAAAATTATTCAGCACTTTGAAATATTGGGCAATTTAGAACCAAAGAGAGGGTATATTCAGGTAGAGATTTCTAATTCTGCTTTCTCTTTCACCAATCCATATTGCATACTACTATCTTCCTAAAATTTCAATTTCATGAAGTTACTCTCCTGATCAGAATCTTACTTTGCTTATAAATCTGTGTTTATGAAGCAAAATTATTAAAATTTGTATACTATCCACCAGTTTCTCAAATAATTGGACTTATAATATGAGTAAAATAGAATGTGAGTGGGTATATGCCTTAAAATATATTTTTTAAAGGTATTAATTTATTTGCTTAGCTGCACCAAGTCTTAGTTGCAACACTTGGGATCTTCGATCTTTGTTGTGGCATGCGGGATCCTTAGTTGCAGCATGCGAACTCTTAGTTGTGGCATGTGGAATCTAGTTCCCTGGCTAAGAATCGAACCCTGGCCCCCTGTGTTGGGAGCACAGAGTCTTGGCCACTGGACCACCAAGGAAGTCCCATGCCTTCAAATATCTTTAAGTATTCATTTAAGTTAATTTCTTATTGTAATAAACAAGTGCATGTCCAATGTGTATGTTACTGGCTCAGTCATGTCTGACTCTGCAACCCCATGAACTGAAGCCTTCCCAGCTCCTCTGTCCATGGAATTCTCCAGGCAAGAATACTGGAGTGGGTAGCCATTCACCTTACATTTATATATAAGCAAACAGGATACATATAAACTGTGGTAAGGTATAAAATAAACAGAATAATGTAATAGACATTAATGGTAAAGGAAGACGATCTAACTTAGATTGAGCAGTTTTGTTGCAACCTGAAGAAAGAGAAGGAGGCAACCTTGCAAAGAGCTCGGGAATGGTCATTTCATTTTCTGGTAGAGGGAATAACAAGTACACATGCTCTAAGATAAGAAAGAGCTTAAAGGTTTCTCAGAACTGACTGGTTATGGCCTGGGCGCCCTGAGCAGGAAGAGTGGCATCAGATAAAGCTGGCCATGTAAACAGGGGGCTGGCTGGGGCTCACAGGCTTAGGTAAGACATTTCAATTTTATTCCAAGAACACAGAAGGGTCATCCAAGAAGTACAATAATGAGAAGCTAAATAATCTGAATAACATTTTGTTTTATTTTATTTTTTAATTTATTATTTTTGGCTGTAAAGCACGTCTTATGGGATTTTAGTTCCCTGACCTGGCCCTCAGCAGCGAGAGCACAGAGTCCTAATCACAGGACTGCCAGCGAATTCCCATCATTTTATTTTTTCAATTTGGAAAAGTTCAAACATATAAACAGGGCAAGAAATTGGTGTAATGAATCCATCACACAGCTTCAACAGTTATCAGCTCATGATCCTTGATTGACATTTTTAGAAAGATCACTCTCTCTTCTTGTGGAGAGTGTTCTAGAGGAGGCCAGCATGTCAGCCTGGATGCCAGAAGACTATTGTAATAGCCCAGTTGTTTCTCAGCAGTTGTGACGTGATTTAGGTTAGTGACATTGATAAGAGAAAGAAGTTAATAATGTGAAAATGAACAGCACTTGGTGATTGATTGATTGACTCTAGGTATTAGAGGAAAGAAGGAGTCAAAGACTACTTCTGTTTTTTTGTCTTTAGTAACTGGCGGGTGGTGCTGCCATTTATTGAAATAGGGAAGATTGGAATCACAATTTCTGAGATGAAACTAAAAGTTCCTTGTTAGATATGTTAGCTCTGAAATGTCTTTTAGACATCAAAGTAGCCATGTCAGGTAGAGCTTTGAGTACTGTGCAAAACCTGGGGAGAGATCTGAACAGGAGGTAAGAATATAGGACTCCTCAATAAGCAAATATTATTCAAAACTTTAAGGTAAGCTTCCAAATAGGAATTTATATGCCAGATAAGAATAGACTTAGCAAAGTGCTACCTGTAAACACTAAAGTATCTTCTTTCATCTCTTCCCAAATATCTCAGGTTTGTTTTTGTTTTTCGGTTTTTTTAATCTCAGGTTTTTGATGAACATTTACTTCCTCTCTATCAGTTGTACTTATATTTCCCTTTTTCCTCAAGGTGAGGGTTTCTACAGTCTTAAAGAAAATGATTCATGATACCTTTTAAATAGGATAAGTTAATCACTGTCAATGTGTTAATATGTTACCTTTCCCAAAGAAAATAACACCAGTTACAGCCAAGTTTTCAAATACTAGATGTGGGGAAATTTTTCTCCTTATGGAAGTATTTCAGTTTTAAAAAATGAAATAATAATGGTTGAATTATTATTAGAAAGTCACCATTTTGCAACCTCAAATGGATTTAGAAATTGATCACCAATGGCTTGCTGGTATTATAAGAGAGAAAACCACACTTTATGTGTGTCCTAACAGAAGAATATATCAATACCTGTGAAGAAGTCTTGCCAATAAACTAGAAGCTGAACCTGGTCAAGCCTCTACAATGAGATATATTGAATTATAGGCAATACAGGGAACAGAAGAATATGGTAAAGAACATGTTAAATGACACAACATGGAGGCAAGCAGCAAGTCCAGACTGTGGGGAAAATATGCAGGACCTAATTTCTTCAACAAATGAATCGGAAGGAAAAAATAGAGCTGAAGAAACTTAGAGGTTGAAAGAAACATAAAAGGCATATCAACTAGTTGTAATGTATATGTTCACTTGCATCTTGATTCAAACATGCAATCTCAAAAAGAACAATAGCAAATGTCTATGTCATTTATAGAGAATAAAAAAATTTAAACATTGGCTATTTGATGTTATTAATAATTATTAATTGTAGTGATGATGTGTCTATATTTTTTAAGAGCCTTTATTTTTTAGAAATGTGTACTGAAATAATTGTAGATGAAATAATATGCCTGGAATGTGCTTCAGAATAGCATTTGAGGAGGAATGGAAGTAGGAGTTGTTACAGATGTGAATTGTTAAAGCCAGGTGACAAGTACATGAGGAGCATTATACTGTGGTGTCTTTTTATTTAGTTTTGGAATTTTCCATAATTACAAGAAAATGAACAAATAGCAGGTCCCATTTAGAAAAGGCCTAGAAAAAGTGTTACTATTAATGGGGATTTAAAATTGTAAATGTTGATACAGAAGATGACTTTTTGGATTAGAGAGTTCTTTCCTTGCCCTCACATTAGCCAGCTTTTTCTACTCATAGAAGATCTTCATGACCCAGATAATCACAATGGTGTGATCACTCACCTAGAGCCAGACATCCTGGAATATGAAGTCAAGTGGGCCTTAGGAAGCAACACTAAGAACAGAGTTAGTGGATGTGATGGAATTCCAGTCGAGCTATTTCAAATCCTGAAAGATGATGTGGTGAAAGTGCTGCACTCAATATGCCAGCAAATTTGGAAAACTCAGCAGTGGCCACAGGACTGGAAAAGGCCAGTTTTCATTCCAATCCCAAAGAAAGGCAGTCCCAAAGAATGCTCAAACTACTGCACAATTGCACTCATCTCACATGCTAATAAAGTGATGCTTAAAATTCTCCAAGCCAGGCTTCAGCAATACGTGAACCATGAACTTCCAGATGTTCAAGCTGGTTTTAGAAAAGGCAGAGGAACCAGAGATCAAATTGCCAACATCCGCTGAAACATCGAAAAAGCAAGAGAGTTCCAGAAAAACATCTATTTCTGCTTTATTGACTATGCCAAAGCCTTTGATGGTGTGGATCACAATAAACTGTGGAAAATTCTTCAAGAGATGAGAATACCAGACCACCTGACCTGCCTCTTGAGAAATGTATATGCAGGTCAGGAAGCAACAGTTAGAACTGGACATGGAACTGGTTCCAAATAAGAAAAGGAATACTTCAAGGCTGTATATTGTCACCCTGCTTACTTAACTTATATGCAGAGTACATCATGAGAAACGCTGGGCTGGAGGAAGCACAAGCTGGAATCAAGATTGCCAGGAGAAATATCAATAACCTCAGATATGCAGATGACACCACCGTTATGGCAGAAAGTGAAGAAGAACTAAAGTGCCTCTTGATGAAAGTGAAAGAGGAGAGTGAAAAAGTTGGCTTAAAACTCAACATTCAGAAAACTAAGATCATGACATCTGGTCCTGTCACTTCATGGCAAATAGATGGGGAAACAGTGGAAACAGTGGCTGAAACAGTGGAAACAGTGGCTAACTTTATTTTGGGGGCTCCAAAATCATTGCAGATGATGATTGCAGCCATGAAATTAAAAGATGTTTACTCCTTGGAAGGAAAGTTATGACCAACCTAGACAGCATATTAAAAAGCAGAGACATTACTGTGCCAACAAAGGTCCATTTAGTCAAGGCTGTAGTTTTTCCAGTAGTTATGTATGGATGTGAGAGTTGGACTATAAAGAAAGTCGAGCGCCGAAGACTTGGAGAAGACTGTTGAGATTCCCTTGGACTGCAAGGAGATACAAGCAGTCCATCCTAAAGGAGATCAGTCCTGGGTGTTCATTGGAAGGACTGATGTTGAAGCTGAAACTCCAATACTTTGACCACCTGATGCGAAGAGCTGACTCATTTGAAATGACCCTGATGCTGGGAAAGATTGAGGGCAGGAGGAGAGGGGACGACAGAGGATGAGATGGTTGGATGGCATCACCGACTCAATGGGCATGGGTTTGGGTGGACTCCTGGAGTTGGTGATGGACAGGGAGGCCTGGTGTGCTGCGGCTCATGGGGTCACAAAGAGTTGGACACGACTGAGTGACTGAACTGAACTGGGTATATATATATAAAGATATTTTTACCTGTAAAACTTAAAGCAAATGTTCCTAATGCCAGAGAGGAGAAACACAAAATCCAAACCCTATGGCTAACTGAGCCTCAGTATCTCTTGAGTGCCTTTTCTCTTCTGATGCAGAAATGTGATCTGCTTCTGAAAGAATAGATACCTGACAAACAAACCCGAGATAATGTATACCAGGGCAACAAATTCTTAGTAACCTGGTAAAATGCATTCATTTGTGCAGGAGTGTTTTGGTTACGTAATATCTACATTGATATAATAATTATTCCATCTAGTTAGTTTATTACATAGTATTATTTTTGCTTTTATATTAATGTATGCTAAGTTGCTCAGTCATGTCCGACTCTTTGCGACCCTATGGACCGTAGCCTGCCAGGCTCCTCTGTCCTTAGGTATTCTCCAGGCAAGAACACTAGAGAGGGTTGCCATGCCATTTATTGAGTATTTCTGAAAGTGAAAGTTGCTCAGTCGTGTCCGACTCTTTGGAACCCCATGGACTATACAGTCCTTGGAATTCTCCAGGCCATAATACTGGAGTTGGTAGCCTTTCCATTCTCCAGGGGATCTTCCCAACCCAGGGATAGAACCCAGGTCGCCCACATTGCAGGTGGAGTCTTTACCAGCTGAACCACAAGGGAAGCCTGAGTGTCTGATGGGCTGATTATTCTGCTAAGCTTTTTATATACTTTATCTCTATTTTTCTTATTTCCCCATCAGGTTGATATTAGGTGCTATATTCCCTCTTTGATAAATAAGGAAACTAATGTTGAGAGGTTATGAATATAATTTTCTCAAGATCACATAGCTTGTAAGTACAATCTGAATTCAGTAAAGTTCATTTCTTTTCCCCCTTCCCATGATGATCTCAATTAGAATGAATGAATAAATTCTAAATAAATTTTGGCATGCTACATGATGTCATTTAACATAACTAACAATTCAGCCTGATCCTTATCAATGGGCTTTAGATTTTAATTCTATATCTTCATTAAAGACAGACTTGAGAATGGTTATAAATGCTTCTCAAGGACGTATTATTTGAATGTAATAGGAAAGAATGGAAGTATTAAAGACTGATTGGTGAAACTTGGTGTCTCTCAATGCATTCACTTATCACTCAAAACTGTAAAGCATCAAAACACATTATAAGGTATTATAATAGCAGGAAGATCATCCATTGATCCCAAACCTCACCCAGTACCTTCCCCTTCAAGCTGTTCATTCCTTTGAAGGTGAATTTTGTGCAATAAAATGCCAGGTTTACGGGAACGATGAGGTGCAAATCATTCATTTATCAACTCGATAAGTATTTCTTGTCTATTATGGGCCTCTATGAGCAAAAAACAAGGATATAGTCCCTGCCTTCATCATGTAGCCTATAGGTCATTGGTAAATACAGGCAGGGAATATTCTGCCTGGAAATTCCATGGACTGTATAGTCCATGGGGTCGTAAATAGTTGGACACGACTGAGTGACTTTCTTAAATATTTGCTACTCAAAAACAAAGATAAATTTCTATATCATGGTGCTTTAAGACACCAAAATGGTTTGGCAATGATAAGTGCAGAGGTAGAAGTTTTATTAAATTATGCCATTTATATAAAATATATCAAGAATTTAAATGCAAGGCGTAGGTTCAGTTCAGTTGCTCAGTCGTGTCTTGACTCTTTGTGACCCCATGGACTGCAGCACACCAGGCCTCCCTGTCCATCACCAACTCCTGGAGCCTACCCAAACTTATGTCCATCGAGTTGGTGATGCCACCCAACCATCTAATCCTCTATCATCCCCTTCTTCTCCCGCCTTCAAGCTTTCCCAGCAAAAGGATCTTTTCCAATGAGTTAGTTCTTCGCATCACGTGGCCAAAGTATTGGAGTTTCAGCTTCAGCATCAGTCCTTCCAATGAGTATTCAGGACTGATTTCCTTTAGGATTGACTGGTTAGATCTCCTTGAAGTCCAAGAGACTCTGAATGCAAGGAGTAAACACATATTATTTACTTCTGAATGTGCAGGATCCAATTCTCTGACCACCAAAATAGGTGAGGTCCCTGTAACAGACTCACATACAAAATGGACCTTTCCTTCCTGACACTTACACAGACTTCTTTTTTTTTTAAACAATTTTTTTCCATTTATTTTTATTAGTTGGAGGCTAATTATTTTACAATATTGTAGTGGTTTTTGTCATACATTGACATGAATCAGCCATGGATTTACATGTGTTCCCCATCCCAATACCCCCTCCCACCTCCCTCCCCATTGCAGGCGGATTCTTTACCATCTGAGCCACCAGGGAAGCCCAAGAATCCTGGATTGGGGAGCCTGTCCCTTCTCCAGGGGATCTTTCCAACCCAGGAATCAAACCGGGGTCTCCTGCATTGCAGGTCGTTATCAACTAAGCTACCAGGGAAGCCCAGTCTTTTCAGAACTTTTCAGAAAGTGCTACTTTGAATGTCATGTTGAGGATCTAAGTCATAGGACAGACATCTTAAAAGATTTCTTGCTTAATCTTGGACTTGCATAATAAATATTGAATTTCTTAATCTGTCCAATTTACCATGGTTTATAATTAATTGTTTTTCCTATTAAACCACACAGCCACTTTTTCAGTCAGCTGTAGGGGGAGAAGGCGGAGGAAGGCTCCTTTTGAACCTACTCAGAGCTGCTTTTCCCCATTTGATAGAACATTGCCAAGGTCGGTAAGCCTAAAATTAACTCCACCAGCTGTGTTTTGGTTTGCTTCATATAGCACATGGGCTCAGGGGGCTAATCTGCTGGGCTTGCTTGCTGCTTCAGTCTGCTGTGCTTTTAAAGTTTGTTTGCCTGGCATGCATGTTGTGCACAAGAGGTGGTAACTGAACAGCTTGAAAGTATATAGAGACTGACAAATAAGTCTCTCCTTTAATCTTAAAAAAAAAAACCCTAGGAACGATGATGGGGGGGTGGGGTGGGGGATGGAGGAGTCTCTGCTGAGTATGTCAGATGAGAGGCTTAACTTTTAACCTCACTGAAGTTTCCCAGAGAGCAGGCTGCTGACATGCTGTCAAAGACCGAGATGATGCTGTAGTTTCAAGGAGTCTGTGTTTTTAGCCCACTCATCTCCATGAGGTCCTGTAGCATGAAGGACCATATATAGACATAAAGAGTATCCCAACTAGCTGCAACTTAAAAATATCCTAAGGATCAGCAGCTGTTATTTCACCCACACAAATTCACAGTTGGCGTAATTAAATTGTGCCTGTTCTCAGTTCTGGAGCCCTTCAGGTTTTACATAAGGACTCATGTAGGCCCTCCATTCCCTTCCTCAGAGTAACTTAAAGCAGAATGGATGAATGAAAGGGATCAATCGTGAGCAGTTTGGGGTTTGCATCAATACAAATAAATAATGAAATGTGGAAGTCAGATCTTGAATTCCTACATAGACAACCACTGGACTCCAGGGACCCTGGGCAGTCCCTGGTCTTGGCTGTTTGTTCTCTCCTGCCCGTGGTTGCTACCACACTATCTTCTTGGCATCTCTCTGGTATTTTCCATAGTTGTCATAGTTACAACCACAGCAACCTGAGCAGGCCACAATCCTCTTATAGCTGGAGACATGAGCTACTACTTTACAAGATATAATTCCCCAGTTCTGCACCAACAATAATCATGTCCCAGATAATCAAAGCATTGTTTTTTCCTTGGCAGAAATATTCCAACCCTCCCAGAATATTACTGTCCTTAAGGTCTGTATGGCATCAGGGCAACTAGAAGGCATCTACAGAAAAGACAACCAAGATAATCAGTCCTGCCTTGAAATTTGATCAAGTATAACCAAATCCCTTATTTATAGGCTGTCTCTGTGTTTCCACACCAATCATTCCATTTGAGTACAGGACAAAGAGATTTAGTAAAATAAAGCCAAATTGGGCAGGAAGATTTCCTCTCCAAAACAGAGCTTTTAAAGGAAGTAATCTGATAATGCACTCCTTAAAAGGGATCTGAGATCTTCCTGGAGTCCTGAAGGATAAAGGACCATTTACAAGATTCAGTCAGTCAGTAATATTTTTTGAAGATCGGTTACCCATGTTAAGGGTAAACCAGTTATCCCTGTTAAGGGCGAGGATACAAAAGAAATGTACTACATTACAACTGTCAAGGGGCTCATTTCTAGCGGCAGACTAACTTGTAAACAAGTAAATACAGCACAAAGCCATCCCTCATAACGGGATTATATACCAAGGACTACAGGAGCCCAGCTAGTCAAAGAGAGTTAATGTGAAGAGGAAGATGGGGTCAAAGAGAGTTTTACCCAAAAATTAAGTCTTAAAGTGTTGGTAGACTTTCTCCCAGTAAGGAAGAGGGGCAGGTGATAGAGGAGTAAAAGGCAGACAAAAGCACTGCAGAAAGATGATGCAGCACATGTAAAGCCAAGAGGCATGAAAAAATACATGTGCAGCAAAACAAATGTTGACTGCTATAACCATTTGCACCTTAGTATGAACTCTTATTCATTTGACAAATATTTATTAAGCACTAACTATATGCTATTTACTTATGTAGGGTTTGGGGATTTGCTGCTGCTGCTAAGTCACTTCAGTCGTGTCCGACTCTGTGCGACCCCATAGACGACAGCCCACCAGGCTCCTCTGTCCATGGGATTTTCCAGGCAAGAGTACTGGAGTGGGTTGCCATTGTCTTCTCTGAGGGTTTGGGGACTTAGTAGGGTACAAAACTAAGTCCCTACCCCCAAGAAGTTGACATTCTAGTGGGCAGTAGATACTCTGAATTTGTCAGTGTTTTTACTCTCTAGTTGTATTTGCATTTTAATTATCCACGATTATGGCATGAAATCTCAAGCCTTATTAAAGGAATATTTTAAGAGAATAAAGGTATCCATAATGAAATAAGGAAGAGATTCTAGAATCAAAATTCTAAAGACAAAAGCAAACAATATTACCTAATGTATAAAGCACATGGAACTCTGCTCACTGTTATGTGGCAGCCTGGCTAGGAAGGGAGGTTGGGGGAGAATGGATTCATGTATATGTATGGCTGAGTCCCTTTTCTGTTCACCTGAAACTATCATAACATTGTTAATTGGCTACACCCCAATACAAAATAAAAAGTTTTAAAAAAGCTGACAATATTCCCAATGCTTATTTGAACTTGGCTTCAGTTGATACCACAGAATCACTATTACAATCCTCTAGGAGGTGCTGTGAATATTTAAAGTACAACCTTTTGCCATAAACTCAATGATTGTGTGGCCATATGGCAGACCTAAAATTGGAGCCAATGTGTGTGTGTTTAGAAATTAAGATGGACCCACTACTCCGTTCCTAAGAACAAAACGTCCCCTTTCTCTTCTTCCTCTTTCCTCCCTTTGGTAACCTCCAGGGACCTGTGTTGTCTATCAGAGTCACTGTCTCAGGACTGTCACGCTTGCAGATCCCATAAATTGTCCCTGGACGATCAACAACCTTCACAGGATGTACTGGGGAGAAGGGAGGTGGTACCCAGCATAGCTCAAAAGGCCACTTCCTCCCAGGAGGCCCCAGTGGTTACCTTGGATAGAGCAGCTCTTTGTTCCCTGTGGCACTCTGGAGCCAACGGTGGCTGCCTGTCCTGCCATGGCTCTTAGAGAGCTTGTATATGGAAGATCCCCTGGAGAAGGAAATGGCAACACACTCCATTATTCTTGCCTGGAAAATCCCATGGGCAGAGGAGCCTAGCGGGCTACAGTCCATGGGGTTGCAAAAGAGTTGGACACAGCTGAGCAACTGAATAACAAATCATGGAAGTATATGAGAATCTAAGTTGGTGCTGGAAAGAGACCACAGAATCTTCAGGAAATGAAAGGAAATTTACACAAATTCTCTTGTGTAATTTTCTGCCAGTTTCTTGCAAGGTTTTTTATAACTCACTTAATTAAATGGCAACCCACTCCAGTATTCTTGCCTGGAGAATCCCATGGACAAAGGAGCCTGGAAAGCTATGGTCCATAGTATCGCACAAAATCAGACACAACTGAAATGACTTAGCACAGCACACACAACCCTACGAGGCAGATGTTATTGTCCCAGTTCTCTGGATGAGGATATAAAATCATATCTAGGATGAGGATATAAAATCATATCATATACATAGTTAATATCATATCTATGTCTAATATACATATCAGTAATAAGTAGCAGATCCAGAATTTGAATCTAAGTCTATATAACTCATGTGTGCATGCTAAGTCCGCTTCAGTTGTGTCTGACTCTTTGTGACCCCATGGAGTGTAGCCCACTAGGCTCCTCTGGCCATGGGACTCTCCAGGCAAGAATACTGGAGTGGGTTGCTGGGCCCTCCTCCAGGGATCTTCCCAGCCCAGAGATCGAACCCGCCTCTCTTAAGTCTCCTGCATTGGAGGTGGATTCTTTACCACTAGCACCACCTGGGAAGTATAGGTCTAAGTCACGGGAAACCAAAATATTCTAGTTTGTCTATTTTTAAAAGTTGGGACTTTAGGTGATACACAAACACAGCGTTGTGTAATATTGAATTACATAATAGGAAAATTGTCCCCTTTAAGTTCATTTTCATTTCTTCTGATTATGTCAAGAAGGAAATCTTGGTTTGATGCTTGTTTGTTGTTCAGTCACTAAGTCATGTCTGACTCTGCAGCCCCATGGACTGCAGCATGCTAGGCTCCTCTGTCCTCCACTATCTCCTGGAGTTTGCTCAGATTCATGTCCACTGAGTCCATGATGCTATCTAACCATCTCATCCTCTGCCATCCCTTTCTCCTTTTGCCTTCAGTCTTTCCCAGCATCATGGTCTTTTCCAATGAGTTGGCTCTTTGCATCAGGCGGCCACAGTATTGGAGCGGCCGGCTGAACTTGATGCTAGCATGGTCTGATGCTAGCATGTCTTTAACACTCTCTAACACTTAAGTCTCCCTTTCCATGAGAAGGCCCCACTTTTTAGACCCAGAGACTTCAGCAGGCAACAATACCTAGCTAGAGCTTAAAAATATTTTGCTCTAATTAAATTTATTTATATGTTCTTCTAGTACATGACACCTGGTGGGCTGAGGTCCATGGGGTCGCTAAGAGTCGGACACGACTGAGCGACTTCACTTTCACTTTTCACTTTCCTGCATTGGAGAAGGAAATGGCAACCCACTCCAGTGTTCTTGCCTGGAGAATCTCAGGGACGGGGGAGCCTGGTGGGCTGCCGTCTATGGGATCACACAGAGTCGGACACGACTGAAGTGACTTAGAAGCAGTACATGACATGTGATACTGGTTTTCATTTATAGTAGGGATATAAAATAGGGCGTATTGGTTAAGTTGAGGATCCCTAGCATCATGCCATCCAGATTCAGCTACTTTCTGGCTGTTTGACTTTGGACGAGTTAATTAGCCCTCAGTTTCCCTACTTGTAAAAGAAGTTTAATGGTGTCATCTACCACATAAGATTGAGGTGTGAATTCAAAGAAGCATTGCATGTCATTCACTTGAACAGTATTTAAAATATCCTACTGTATAGCACAGGGAATCATACTCAGTGTTTCATAATAACCTATAAGGGAAAAGAGCCTGAAAAAATAGATATGTATAGCTGAATCACTTTGCTATACACCTGAAACGAGCACAAACATTGTAAATCAACTGTACTTCAAGAAAAAAATCTATACTGTTGCTCAGTAAATGTTAGTTGTGAGGGAGTTGAAACAAAAATGAGCTGACTTAAAATCAGGATTTCTCATCTTTGGCACCGCTGTCCTGGTGAGAGGCTGTGCTGTGTGTTGTGAAGTGTTGAGAAGCATCCCCGCCCTCTGGCCACTAGGTGTCGCTAGCACCCAGTTATGACAAAAATGTCTCCAGACGTTGCCAAATGTTCCCCGTGGGGCAGAATCACCCCTGGTTGAGAATCACTGGTTTAAGGTAAAATATTAGGTGAAAACCAGACTTAGATATAACAAATATCTTAAGTATTGAGTGGGAAAAAATGAATCGAAAAACACTGCTCTAAGGCAGTGCTATTTGAATTTAATTCTAAAAGTCAGAAATTACTACTTCTATTTGCAAGCTTATGACTATGTTCTAAGTTTTCTATCAAAGCTAAAAGTATTCAAACAACTCAGAAGAGGCTGAACTAGTAAGTACATGAAATTCATCTTTATTTTTCTTTGACCTCCTTTTCTTCTACTTTCTTTTCCAGAGTGTCACCCAAAACCTCCCTCTACAGACATACCCAGGAACTACCTGGATAGCATCCTTCATCCAGAATTCTTGTACCCCTCCCTCCCAATCAGGGGTACCCTTGCCTCCCCCCACAGCCCTATTTCCTGCTTTTTAAAAAAAAATTTTTTTGATGTGGAGTTTTTAAAGTTTTATTGATTTTTTTTTTTTTTTTTTTACAATATTGTTTCTGTAAGTTTTGGTTTTTTGGCTGAGAAGCATGTGGGATCGTAGCTCCCCAACCAGGGATCGAACTCGTGCCCCCAGCAGTGGAAACCACCTGCCTTCCACGGAAGTCCCAGCAGACATATTTTAACTGTTTTCATTACCCTCCTACTTGTATCTCTTTTAAGAATAAAATTATATCGTGCAATACTAGAATAACTTATCTTCTGGGAAGAAAATAAAGAACATAATAATCTTGTTTGTTAGAATGTGGTAAAGAGATTTAGATTTCGGGTGAGAAATCCACCCCAGACCTTTGGGCTTAAGATCTTGCTCTACACTACTAGGTATGGGACTGGGTCATGTCACTTAATTTCACTATATCGTAGTTTCCCAGTTTAATAAATTAGATTACTATTTATCTTGTAGATTGTGAGGATAAATGCACAGTAGAAATGTAACTGTCATTATAAATACATAAAAGTGCTTGCTTTTTTTTTTTCCTCCTTTATGGCTGAAGTTCCCAGTGTAGTGCTTTAAAGAAAAATTATCTCCATCTTTTTTTTTTTTCCCCATTTTCCTTCTGGTCTTGATGCGTTCACATCTAAAAAATTGCCTATATCAACATTAGGAAGAAAAAAATCCATCTGTAAAAGCGTTATCTGTTGGGTAGTAAAATAAGGGTTAGGGAGAGCCTGTGGAAGACAGATGAATTTGGGAGCATAACCGTGGATTATTATGAACTGAATCAGATAATGATTCCTATTACAGCTGCTGTATGCATGTGGTTCTGTTGCTGGAGCCAAATCAAAACCGAGCCGTTTATAGAGAGCGATGCCCAGAGCGGGACCTGTCAGCTATGAGGCGCAGGTTTCTTTTGTTGGATCACTTCCATCATGGGAAGAGTAGCACTTTGTTCTTGATGGGATAGGCCCTCTATATAGTATGTAGATCATCCTTCTCTGCACATAAAGTTTATGCCCAAACCACCATCCTTGGATTCATGGTGGGGCTTATCCACTTTCACGTTATTCCATACACCGTCACTTCTGATGAAGGAGGTCTTTGTGTAGAAATGAAGTGTGGCACTGGGACTATGCTCATCAAATTCACCCGTCTTACCCTGCCCCCCTCCCTTCCTAAAGCCACTGATTTGACAGAATGGTGGACTGTCTTTTTGAAAAATCATGTATGGCACCAGTCAAGTGGCATATGGCATAGATTGTGCAGCTGAGGCAGTGTCCTCCAGGGCGCAGTATATGCTCTAAATTAGATAGTAATGTAGGTGGTGTTCTTTCTTCTATAGCCAGGATTTATAGGTCTGGGGGTTTAGGAAATGAAAATGGGAGTTGCTTTTTTCTTTATTATCCCTCATGATTCACTAACAAACTTTTCTTTCTGTCCCTGTGACTTTAAGTTTAGAATAGAGGCCTTGGAGGAGGAAATGGCAACCCACTCCAGTATTATTACCTGGAGAATCCCTTGGACAGAGAAGCCTGGCAGACCACAGTCCATAGGGTTGCACAGTCAGACACAACTGAAGCAACTTAGCCCATAGAGGTCTTAGTTCCAAAGGAAGGAATGCTTGCTTCCACTAGAGGTCACAACCATGGTTCTGTGACGCTGGAAATTGGGACTGCCATCTGGCCACTGTGGGCTCCTCATACCAATGAATCAACAGGCAAAACAGGTGATTACTGTACCTATTGTGGTGATCGATCCTGACTACCAAGGGGAAATCAGATTTCTACTGTATAATGGGGATAAGGGAGAATATGTCTGAATTATGCTCTTGCTACTCCCATATCCTGAGACTTCTGGCAAGGAAAAAACTACCACCCAAAGTGGGCAGCAGAAATGAAGGTTTGGGTCACCCTACCAGATGAGGAACCAGGGCAGCAGGAGTCTGGAGTTAATACTAATTATAAATATCAGCTACAACCATGTGACCAGGAGTAAAAGTGAGGTGTGTAATAGTTATAAGTGTGAAACAGAAAATTAGCCACATCAGTGATTACATAAACCTCCCCAATGCTTCAGACTATTCACCTTCAATTTGCGTCTGTTCTGGAATTTCCATTTCATAAGGAAAAGAACTTTTTAAAGTCTACTTTTTAAAGTTACCCTTAAGCACATTCAGTTCAGTTCAGTCGCTGGGTCGTGTCCAACTCTGCAACCCCAAGAACCACAGTACGCCAGGCCTCCCTGTCCATCACCAACTCCCGGAGTCCACCCAAATCCATGTCCATTGAGTCAGTGATTAAGCACATTACATAATATTAAATAAGCCAACTAAATGTTTTTCACTGAAGGTTTGACTCAATAGTTTAACATCTTCAAAATTAGCACACTAAATCACAGCTAAGGCAGTGTCAGCTTCCTATTAGTCACTAAAGTGCTTCGTGGATATTCCTAAGTGGTATTCATAGTTTATACTCTAGTTATTTATTCACTGCTACAGTTCCCAGGCTAGCCTACACTCTCTGTATAGGCATTTTATTTTTTCTTTGTATGTCCAGTGCCCAGCTAATGTCCAGGTCCTAGAAATACTTTACCTGGGAAAATATGTATATGTGGCTGTTCAAATGAATGAGTGAACATGGCGTGTGTGTAAATTAGTAATTCTTAAGTGACTAAAAATTAATGACTGTTAATAAACATCCTTATAATCATTTAAGAAAGATGTAATGAAGAGAAGTTTGGGATCAGAAAGATGGGAGTTTGCCAGATTTGCAACATATTAATCATTAAGCACCTCGTTTAACCTGAGTTTCAGTTTCCTTTTTTGCAAAATGAGATAACATCTTAACATCTTGCAGTATTGTCATAATGAGAGAGCTAATTTTTAGGTAGGAGTCCAGGGCCCTCAAGGAGAAGAAAAGGACAAATGTTTTTTTTTTTTTTTTCCTGCATGACTTTGTCTTAGTCAATATGACAATGTATCTTGCTCAAGGACATGTTTCTCCTTAACAAGAACCTTTTGACTAACCTTGTTATCTTAAGATGTGTGTTGTAGGAGTGTGTCTGGTAAGACCTTTCTGTTCTATTCTTGTTAATTTCAGATGTCCATTTTGGCAGTGGGTCTGGTAAAAGCATATAAGGCCTTGATAAGACTAGTCAGGGGGACACACTCCATCCCCCTCTGATGTCTATGTCAGAAGCTTTCCCTGTCCCTTTTTTGCTACACAACAACCTCTTGAGTGATCGAGCCTGGTCCCTGGTCCCGAAGCTAAATCTTCGGAGATCACAAATCCGACATCGCTCCCCGTTAAGTTACCATCTTGGGGGCCCGTCCGGGATCTTCAGGACAAGGTAAGAACACGCAGATCTGTAGCCTCTCTGCTTTCTCAGTATACATGTTTTCTGCTTTATTTTACTGCCTCTATGGTGTACCTGTGTGTGTGGGTGATTGAAAGCCTGTGGGGGAAACATGTGGACCGAACTTTGGTTTCTTGGTCAGCTATTCCCGGTCTCTTTGACCATTCCATAACTGCCTGGGGAATTAGAACTACTAACCCAATCTGTCAGATTATAGACTTTCGAGGGATTTGTAATCCATGCCGTTACTGTGTACTTTTACTTAGACCCCAAGCTTGGTGGTCACGGGGAACCCAGACTTGCTAGGAGCACATTTGGGAACGAGGTTCTACTCTAGCTCCAGCAGCGTCTCTCTTGGCTTCTTCCATACAGGGCCAGAGTCCCGAAAGCGAGTCCTTGTCGTAGCTGCGCCCCAAACTTCATGGGTGGAAGCGCTGCCAGCAAGCATGAAGTTTCTAAGAACGCAGGTTTGTTTGGAATCCCAGATTGGAAGCACAGTGTGCTTCTTCCTTTGGTAGTGCTAGTTCTTCGCAGCCTAGATAAAGTTCTCCAGTGATTTACTGATGGGGCAATGACTCGCCGTTTCTACTGCAGTCAGGACTGTACTCAGGAATGTAAGCTATCAATAAGAAGTAGAGATAATTTACACACCTGACATAGCGTTTAGTTCAGAGCTGGTTCCCAACAAAAAGTAGTTCTATTATTATTTACTGCTTATGTCCAGGAGTAATTCAACAAGTCTTTGTATAAATCATTGAAATTTCTGAATTAACATATTGAGTTTACTAGAATTATTTAGAAAACAGAATACAACGTATGACATTCTTCCTATACAGGGTCTTTACCGCTTTCTCTAGTTGTGTGAGCTCAAAGATCCAGCACAGCCAAAAAACAAATAAGATAAAATTGGTACCCCAACACCTATCCTATCCATGTTACAGAATTCTTAGATGAGTCAAATATACAAATGAAGGTTGTAAACTGTAAATGTTAAACAAATTGCTAATTTTTATTTTTATATCTTCCATCTGAGTGCTTTGGCTATCATTCTTTTTTTTTTTTTTTTGTCATTGCACGATTTAAAAATGCATTTTTATGTCCTTGGAAAAATTTCCGTGTTTATTTTAAGAAAAATCAAAGCAAAAACTTGCCACTTACTTAAAAAGATATCATGAGCCCAGTGACCTAATATTTGCTACAGATTCATAAAATTCTCATCCTAAGATACATAAATATTGAAATAGCCAACAGAAATTTTAAAGGCAAAGTGTTATGAATTGTTCTGTTCTCATCACCATAGTTCTGTTCACTGAAAGCAGAAATTGAAGAAAACTTAGAAACTTAAAAAGTCAGTGGCATATTTCATCAGGCACCAAATGTGCCACTGACTCTCCTATTACCTTAGAAACTTAGGACACGAGCTTTATAGGAACATTGACTTTGTGTGTTTATGAGGTGAGCCTGTTAGTTGGGGTTTTTAATGTGGGTTCACAGCTAATAGTTCCTAAATTTAGCTGCATATCAGAATCACCCAGAAATTCACTCCAGATCTATTGTGACAAAATTATATGAGTCCCAGAAACAGTATTTTGAACAAACTCTCCACTTTTAGCGCTCTTCCCTTTGCTAGCGGTTCTGTACTTCTCGGGGT